GCACAGGTGTCCATCCTGGGCAGGGATTTAAACAGGCTGGTAAATTCAGCTCTTCTTTAGTTCCATGTGTCACTGAGTAGCCACGTTCTTGAGCTCTAATTAGCAGTTTTAGTACACACCCTCTGGTATACACCCTAGCTCCTGGTACGCACTCAGGCCTTTTCCCCAACCTTTGCAGTAGAAGAGATAGTGGTGCAGATCTGGGTTGGAGGAAAAGGCAGGGGTGGGAGGCCTGGTCTCTTCCTCAAAGAGGAGCTAGCCAAGCAAGTCAGAGAATCAAATAATTAGTGAATACACTCTCCAAGTCAGACTATACCAACTATCTTTCCAAAATAGGATGTGCAGGGGGACAGGGGTTTAATCATGGGGTTGGACATTTGATGGGGGTGGGGGTGAGGGGAAATTGGAAGAATCTGGTCTGGAAAACAATGTATTCAAATTTTGTAAAAAACCTAGTATAATGAAAAAAATAAAGGGAAAAATAGTTTCATTTTGACATTTCCACATTCTTAGGACAAAGTTACTATCTCCATTTTATAAATAAGAAACCAACCCCCAAAGGTCTGAATGAAATAACTTACTTAAGATTGTAGTGATTAGTGACCCAAATTTCTCCCACAATGAGTACAGGAAACTAGCAGGAAGAAAGGTAGTGGGACCATCTGCCTCTCCCATCCACAACCCCTCATTGACTCCCTCACTGGGCAGCAGTAGAGGAGAGCAGAACTAGCCACTGAAAGTTGGCTGGAATACTAACAAGAAGTAACCATTACAATAACAACAAAGCATTCAACAGCATGTATATTTTCACAACGTGCAGTCTATGCAGGATACTTTATAAGCATGAAATTAGCAAAGCCTCCCAACAACTATCTAAGATGAGGACTATTACCTGTATGAGGCCACTCATCAGAAGACCAGAAAGGTAAAGTGACAAAACCAGGGCAAAAGAACTCAGGTCTCAACCCAAGTGTTTATGATTTTAAAGCTTGAGGATTCATTTCTTAGGAGACACTTGTGGGTGGGTCTCCCCTTTCCCTCCAAATATGTGAATAAAACCAAGAAGATGCAGCAATGTCCCATGTGTCTGGTTGCACCCAAAGCCTCAACCATTCTGAGCACTTCATCAGGGCACAAGACTTGACTCTGGGCAGAATGTTTATGATAAGGTCAAGTGGTGTGCAGAAGTCCCTAGTGCTTTCTCTACTCACTGTATGGTCCCAAAAAGGGTCTTGATCCAGCTACTCTTGGGGCTGTTTGATATCAAGTGCCAACATCAGATTATTCCAGGACTCCTCAACACAGATGTGTCCCATGTGATCATGGAGCCTGGGCAGGCAGCTGTGGGAAGGCTGTGAGCGAGGAAAGCAGGGACAGCTGAGTTGGCTAACCTGCAAACACAACTGTGCTCTTTGAGTGCATAGTCAAAGCCAATCTTGTTCTTAAAAGGGAATGCCTTTAGCCTCTCTCCATTGAGAACAATGTTGGCTCTC